ATCTGTTTCTCTGATCTTATCCCCAAGACTGAATCCCCAGGTTTTCACCAAGACCCCGGTAGTAGCCTCCTTGAATATTCCTTTAGAAGGCCACGCACATTTACCCAGGCCTCCTGACACCTGGCATCTTCCTCTTCTCTATTTTTCCTGGAGGATTTTGGAGCTAAATTTCTGTATTCCATGTAGAGTCTGCTCAGCCTCTTCATTCTGCATGTTCCAGGCCACTACTTTGGTGACTCCATAAGGCTTTCCAGATTCAGGCTCTCACATCAGCATTCCTGTCATCTCTGCCCACCAGTTCTAAGTCAACCTGCCACTCAGTCACTCAATCAGATTCTTTTGATCCCATGACTTCCAGAAATGTGTCTGGATTTGCCTTGTTATATTCAAATTTAGTTTGACTGGCTAGTATTTTTTTTAGTCCTCTTTATGTATCAGTCATTAGTCATTATTTCTTGAATTTCAGCCTCAGAACAATACCAAGGGCTGATGATGTCAATATGCCTACTTTACAGATGAAGAAACTGAGCTTGACTGTGATTAATTGATTTATTCAATCTAGAAAGTTTCAGAATTGAGAGTAGAATACATATTGGTCAGAATTTTAACTACTTGCAAATGCCAAGAGTCCCTTTTATTGGCTCCCACTTCTAGTCTAGTGTCCCCATTTCCTCTCCACTGCCCTAATTCAAACCCTACATAACTCCTGCAGGAAATGTTACTGGGTATCTTTGCCGTGTGATGCTGGGTGCTGGGGAAGAGACTCTGGTGCCAGACAGAGTCTTCGTTCATCTGCTTCTGTGATCTTGGTTTGACTCATTTATACTCTCTGAGAATATGTTTCCTCATGTGAAAAGCAGAAATTATGATAGCATCTGTATCACAACTTTCCTTTTCTAAGTGTTTAATGTGGTAATGTAGGTCAAGTCCTTGGCATAGTGCCTGGCACACAGTAATAACTCAATATATGTTAACTCTAATCCTGTCATTCTTCTCAAAAGGAACCTTCCATGTCCCCCCATGATGCCAGCTTCCTGACTGTCTTAATCTGGCCCTCATTCTTTTTCATCTTATCCCTTTGTCTTCTAACTCTCCAGTTGGCCAAATGATCGCCTCCATCTTTGTGACTTTTATTGGGGTTGCAGAGAATCTTTTCACAGTTTTCCTGCTCTGGGATCAAACGATCTGGGTTTCAAGCCCAGCTTTACCCCTTATTTGTTGTGTACACCTGGGTACACTCATTCACATCTCTGGATCTGAATTTCATCATCCATAAAATGAGATTGAGACTGCATTGTTGATGACACCTAGGAAGGAATTATACCTAACACCTCATAGGCATTAACCTAACATCTCCACTTTTTTTTTTTAAAGATTTATTTATTTGTACATACAGAACTGGGGTACAGGCTGGAGGCTCAGGGGCGGTGAGAGACTTCACCAGAGACAGAGTGGGGAACAGAACAGGCAGATCGACCAAGTACACTGCTGAGGGGAGCAGCGGGTGGGTCAGGAGAGGTCTGCCACACCATGTGGTCACCTCCGGGGCAGGCGGGAATCGAACTCATGTGGAAGTGGCTTTAGATTCTCAGTGCTGTGCTTTAACCCGCTGCGCCACCAGGGAGGGCCACATCTCCACTTTTAATAGAATCTCTGTTCTTACCACCCGGCCTGTCTTCCCACCAAAGACTCCTTCCAATCAGGTAGTTGCTTTGCTCCTTTACCTTCTTTTGGACTCTTCTTGTGGCTCCTCGTAGTGTTTTTTTACCATAGTGCTTTGTTTCCTATACTTCTTCAACATTTTCTTGCTTCTTTCCAAAACAACCCAGTTAATTAGCACAACTCCAACAGTTAGAATAGCCTAGTAACCATCAGCTCTATTTTTCAAAACCGAGACCCTAAGAGATTGAATGACTGATTTATGATCACAGATGGAGGCCAGAAGTACAAGTCTTCTGCGTCATGGTCACCTTATATCACCTGTGCTCCCCTGTCATTGTTATCCTCTCTAACGTTACCAATTGTTTTCCCACAGCTCCTTTTTTGTACCCATAGGGAGGACTTGTCTGGTCCCTCCCCCAGTCCACTACTCAGCAAATATCCGTTATATGGTTGATGTCATTCAAATATGATGACTTTCAGGTTCGTTCGATGTGTTCATGTGAATTAACATGGAGTATGGCAAGGCCATTGTGAGAGACTAACAAACTGTATCCTCTAGAAGGTTGAATTGGCACGACATTTTATTCAAGGAAGAAGCCAGAGACAGATTCCACTTCTGTGGCAACTGCTTCTCTGCACTCCTCCCTTTTAGACTTTGGATTTGGAAATTTGAAGTTATTGGCTTTATTCCCTCTGCTCAGTGTTCTTGTTTCTATGATAACCCTGACCATACAGGTTGTAAGTAATCTGCTTATCCATCTGCTTCCTCACCCCCAGCCTGTGACTCCCTCCAGGACAAGCACCGAATCCAATTCCTGTCCATGCCCAGGGCCTGCCACTGGGTTTGGCATATAGTTAATGAAAGCTAGATGAACAAACCAGCCATCTGGGTCCATTCTTTAATCCCCCATGAATGTGCATGTCCTATTCTCTTACTTTATTTCATATAATGCACATTTCTTATCTCTTACACTGAATTAAAGGCCAGTTTTATGTTTTACTCATTTATGTAGCCTCCCTAACAACCAGGAGAGGAGGAAACTACAATTATTGAGAGTCTATTGTGTGTTGGTAGTGATTTCACATATATTATCTCATTTTTAAATTGAACTTAATTCTTGTAATAGGTTGATAAAGTAGGCATTATCATCCTTGAATTACAAAGAAGGGAGTTGAGACTCAGGGATATAAAGTAATTGGAATTTAACCAAGTTTACATAGCTGTTAAGTAGCAATGCTAGGATTCAAATCCCTGACTATTGAGTCTTAGACCAAAGTCTTTCTTTTTTGTTGATGTTTGATGTCAGTATTTTTAATAACACACAAGATGGCTAAGGACATGAGCCCAGAGGAGTCAGGGACACTGCTGAATTGAGACTTGGATTCAACCACATTGAATCACATCTCTTCAAGTCCCATCCCCATAGCTTCCAGCACATATGCTGCTACTGTCCCATTTGATTGTTTAGATGAAATGTTGCAGAAAAAAATTATAATAATCACTCACAATTCATCAGGCATCATGCTAAACACTGGAACTACAGTGCAGAAGACAGGTCCTCTCAAGGAGCATACAGGATAGTGAGAAGTGAGCCATGCAGCAGTGATCACAAATGTGATCTGTGCCTTGAGGAGACAGAGGACTAGGGCTTAGATCACTCTAGGCTGGTCCTGTGAGGCTTCTGAGTGGATCATAAAGGAGAGATGCCAGTTAGCCAAGCAAGCAGAGAAGGTCAGCATGCACTAAGCCACTCAGGTACACAACTACAGGTAGGATGGGGCTGGAACAAGAGAACATCCTGGTGGAATAGTATAGTGGGAGCAGAGATGTTGAAGCTGGCCCCCCTGTGTTCACATCATGAGCCAAAGTCTACAACTGACTCCTACTTCTGTCCCTGCACAAAAGCACTTTCAGCTTAGATGACTCCCTACTCATATAGTGAGTTTCAGAAATAGCTGGCATTGTCTTCATTAGCGACAAGTTGGAGAAGCACAGAGTTTGCATTTTCCTGGTATGTAGGAAATAAACAGTTGGGCACATGATGATGTCATTGGCCCAGGGTGGGGTGTGACTGTCAGCAGCCAGGTGGATCATTGTGTCCATGTTCTTGATGTACAGAGGAGCAGAGAGCCTTGATGTAACATGCGGGAGATGGAAACAAAATGAGAATCTTCTTGAGTGGTGGGGTGGAGTGGAGCTTTCTGCCTTCTCTGGGTCAGAGGCTAGTAAATGACAAATGTCCATTAGGTCTGCCCACTTCAAGGCTTCCTTGTCACCATGGTTGAAGATTTTCTTTAATCTGAGACTGGGTAAGCAACCAAAGAATCAGTTGGGAACTGATCAGTTGGGAACTGATCCAACCTTATAATGGATTATATGTAACTTAATAATAAATATATACACATGTGTCCATCACATGCAGAGACCAGTGTAATACTGGTGTTGATCTCCATTTCTATCCTTCTGCACCCAGAACTTTGAAAAATCTTCAGGTTATATTCTGTCTTGGCCCTACTTTGTTCTGTTCTCCCCTTGTGTCATCCATCCAGTCCCTCCTGCATCCCACTGTAGTTACCTCCCCACATCCCCAAACTGCCTCTCCCATCTTTCAGCCAGCTAGGCTGCCTGTCCCTTGGCCTGGACAGTATATAAAAGTCGTCTAAAGGCAGCAGTGCTTAGCCCCGAGAACTGCCCCCAGCCTCCCCCTTTACCTTGTGCTCCTTGCTCACTCTCCTAGTGCTCCCCTCCAATTTTGCTCTCTCTAATGCAGTCTTCACACTGCTGCCTGGAAGATTTATCTAAAATTTAAATGCCTTCATGTCATTCCCCTGTTCAGAACCCTTCAGTGGTTTCAGACCCTTTTCAAATGACATCCAAACTCCTGAAGCATTTAGAACAAGGCCATTCAGGCACAGCTCCTCTCCACCTCCCTGGCATCAATTGCTACCTCTCCCCTTGACAGTTTGTGACACAGCCATGTTAAATTACTTATAACTCCCCAAACACACAGTGTTATTTAACATTGCTGAGCCTGCCAGAAATAGCCTTCTCTCTCTCATCTGCCTTACAAATCTGATCAGCCTTTAAAATTCTCTCAGCTGTCCCTTCTCTGAAGCCCTCCCAGACAGAAGTCATCATTCTGGATTACTTCTGTGCCTTGTTCAGACATCTACTGTTGCCCTGCCTGCATATTCCCAAGATCTTCTGGCTGAAAAGAACCATCTTCATGAATAGGCCTAGCTCAGGACCTACCACAGAGCAAATGCTTAGCCAGTGGTGGGTGAATCATTGTGCACTTGCCCTGCACTGACAACTGCATCCCCATTGGCTTTCCCAGGTAGGGCCAATCACTGGTCTGCAATCATTGGTGGATCCCACTCCAAGAATTATGTGCTGTGGGAGTATGGAGGATACGCAAGTGAAGGCGTCAAACAAGTTGCAGAATTGGGCTCACCAGTGAAAATGGAGGAAGAAATTCGACAACAGGTAAGAAAAACAACCAGAAAGTGATCAAAAACTAGAATGTAGTCAAAGCATCCCTTAGATTTCTTCCGCAGAAGCTTGATATTTACAGTACAGACTACTGGGAAGTTGGTGCCATTAGAAGGGAAATCTATTTGCTGAGTTTGGGGAGGACAAAGGGATAAATGTTCACCGTGTTGGCTCAGATTATCCCTGACTGCTTTTGTGTTTGCTTCAAACAATATAATGGATTACAGTCTTCTTACTGTGATCCTTGAGAGGGTCAGGGAAATGGCATCCCAGCTGTCTAAACCACTATCACTATTTCTAAAAAAAAAAAAGTGTATTGACATATGCTCTTTGTGACGATATCTCAAGGTGTCTGAAAAAATAGTCAGCCATTTCACGGTACCATGACAGCCTGAAACCTGTTTTCTTTCCACATGTCATGTGGCCCTAGGAGCTGGGCAGGTACTGAGATCCCTGTTCAGACTTCTGAGAGACAATGAGATATACTTGCCACGCTTTTCAGCTTGTTTGACGAGGCCATGTCCCTCATCAAAAGCACTAGGCAGAGGCTGATGAGAGATCTTGGAAGGAGAGCTGTGATTTTTCACTGTTCATTCACAGGCTGTGCTATGGAGAGGTGATGGTCCATCACCACCCACAGAGCCCTTTGGGCCTGAGAGAACTGATGGGTAGCCATGTCTCACTGCCCACATGTGTTTAGGAATGGTGAAGGGAAGAACATACCAGGCTTGGGACATGGTCATGTCATAATGCGCATTCCTATGAAGCTGCTGCCCTGCGTGAACTTGTCACATGTCTCCTGAGAAAACTCAAGAAGGCCCAGAGACCCCAGGCCCAGGATCTCACCTGATAGGTGTACACCCAGAGTTCCAAGCAGCACAGTGGAGTGAGCACTCTGTAACATCTGCCCTCTGGCTCCAGGCTCCCACACACCCTGAATTGAATGCAATGAAAGTCACCTTGACTCCTACTATAGTCTGGTCCAATCCTTTTGGACCAAAGTGCAAAAATGCCCCAAAACTAGCTTATGCTTCTTATTAATTCGATTTTAGTATTATTTCCATTTGTGGGGGGAAATATGTTTAATCAAATGTTTTAAGATCACATGTTATTTATCACAAGTTTATATGACCGACTTCTTAGTGTTTCTCTGACTGGCCCCATGCTGGGAAACTGGTATCACTCGTTTGGGCTATGGCACAGTCCCTCACTTGCAAAATCATAGAGCCTCCTATTGGTCCTACTCTGTCTGATTTGTCATGGGCAAACCCTTGTTTGGGGTCTTGAGGATCCATGTTCTTGCTTCTCATACGTGGCATTGTAATACTCTGACTTGTTGAGTTCTGTTGTGAACTCTTGTAGTAAGACCGTTTGTTACAAATGCTAGCTGAAAAACTGAGGCTTTCAAATAAACTTGATCAAGGTCAAGGGCATCTTCACAATAATACGGTTCTTACTGACTGGCTTTCACGAGAGGTTTCTGCAGGGAAGGGAAGCATGTATGAATTATAGAAAACTGGGGCCATGTTGTTCCAGCAAACATTATCTGTCATCTGCAAAATGTTTGAAAATTGATAAATGGCAGCCCCCACTTTCGATTGTTTCCCTTGGGGGAATGTCATCTGCTTGGTGTATTATCCTAACCAGCACACCTGGCTTTAGCTTCTATACCACACAACTGCCTCTCTGAGCTGGTTGATGTTCATGACATTAAGACATAAGTTTAATTATAAGTACTGCACATATGAGTACTGCACACTGAGCAGGATGAGCAGAATACTCAGGTATCCTGAGTTTAGGCATCTTCTTTTAGCTTTCACCTGTAAGGGGACAATATTTAGGCACAGTTAATACCTAAAGAATACCAAGACTTGACCCACGTCTGTCTAGCTCCAAAGTCTCTACATAATATCAGATAAATAATTTGCAAGTGAGACAGCCTAGGTAAAAGAAACTGCTAGCCAATAGGATGAGTGACCCCTGTCCTGTTCTCTCAGGTAGACTAAATCACAGACTAGTAAGTCCTGTCCAAACAATCTGGCCACTACCCTGACCGTGAGGGCCATGATGGATTAAAAAGTGTTAAATCCTGACTAATGCTTATCTCACAATTTCCTGGAGAGAGAAAGCTAAGAGCCCTCATGCATAACTGGAATGTGACCCATCTGCACATGCCTGGGCGTAGCCAACCCAGAACAAGCTGGGAGCTGCCATCCAGGGCCCCACTTTGTAGACCTACCCTTTAACTGTCAACTCCTAGCTCACTTTGGGGAGCCAGGTTATAGTCTCCTGCCCTGAACTGCCTCTTTCATGCATGTGTCTCTCTAATTTTAAAGCCTTATCTGATTCAACTACAACTAGCACTCCGGTGACTCATTCCCTAGAGGGCCAAGGGCCTACTTTTTTGGCTCAGGCCTGTCACACAAGGCTTTTGCAAATGTGGAGTCTGTTGTCCAAAACTAGTTAAGAATTTCAAGACAGTGGTGCTATGAATTTTATAGCAAATGGCCCTGAGGATATACATATGTTGCACACCAATGAGTTCAGCTCTGCCTACTAACTTCTCTGCCCCGCACAGCTGCCCTTAGAGAAACCTCTTTCTCAGGCCTGAAATAAGCCGTTTCCAGAGTTGCAGTAAGCATCCCAGCTTCTAGGAAAGTCAGTTGAAGAAAGTAACTTCAGAGTCCCTTCCAAACGATTCATATTTCTAAATATTGTTCTCAGCAAGCACACAATTTATGACATTTTTCTGTAACTCAGGTAAGAAACAACATTAAAAAGAGCAAGAATATGAATTCTCCTAGAATATAAAAGTGCCCTCTGAGTACCCGGGGAACTTGTTTGAACACATTTACAAACACACAGTATTCTCAGCCTTTCATACCTCAAATCCTACCAATCGCTCTATCAAAGAACCTGAATCTAACCACGATGAAAATAAAAAGCCCTCTCTTCCCAAGAAAGCCATTTATATGCTTACCAGCATTCTCTTATTATAGACTTATCGCTCACTGCAAGTTTCAAGGGCATTAAAAATCACAGATATTGTTGGAGGTAAATCTTATGCTAATGGCTTTCAAATACAAATGAACAAAAATAATAAACCCATTAGTAGTGGGAAATTATAATAATAATATCGAGCATAAATTTTAATGCTACTGTAACTGCAAAACACCAAGAAAATTAATGAAAAATTACAGCAGCATTATTGGCTGTAATGACACTGATGGACAGAGGGAGTGGGGGAAGGGCACACACTTACTGCTTAGCAAGGGAACAGAGGCCAGGGTGTCCTGGAGCCAGCTGGACCGTGAACTAGAAACACTGCACTAAGGCAAGCCTGGAAGGCCATGGATGGGTAACCCAGGGCAGGTGGAGGCAGCTGAAATGGTGGGTCACACCTGTAAGCAGTCTTGGGCTCTATGAGGTGATTCTATGAAGCATTACATTCCATTAAGGCCATTTTTATCATCAAGTACACATTTATGGCATGTGTGCTATCAGTGTCTGGTTCTCTGTTAGATGCTGGCCCAAAGATGGTGCCCCATTCACCACGTTATTCATGCTAGAAACGTAGGGATCATCTAGTCTCTATACCCTGCCCCAATTTCTGCCGTCTCTCCTAAATTAGTCAATTTAATTTCCCCCACCGCCATGCTGTATAAGCCACACTCATGTCTTCTAAACCATTGCACTAGCCTCCTGGGCTCCTTGCCCCCAGTCCTCATTCTATTATCCATACTACCCCAGGGCCAGTTTGTAAAGTACAAATTGGATCATGCCAATTAAGTTGTTTAATGACTCGTAATTGGCCCTAGGATAAAATCCAAATTCTTTATTATGGCTTAAAAAACGCTTCCTGTTCCAACCTTATTTTGCCTCTCCCTAGCTGCAGAGCTAAGCTTTACCCATGCAGACTCTCTCGGCCCCTCCACGAAGCCATAGCCTTGCATCTAAACCCTCTCTCAGCCGGGAACATCTTCTAGCTCCCCTTGAAATGGCGAACTCTTATTTAACCTTCAGGACTGAGCTTAAAGGTCACTTCTTCCTGGAGGCATCCCCTGATTCTGTACTAACTGGTCCCCTTGCCAGGAATACCCACAGCACCCTACACTTCCCCTGTCATTACCGTCATCTCATTTATAGTGGGTTTCTTGTATATGTCTCTCCCTCACTAAGCTGAAAAATTCAAGTCTGTGCTTTCCATCACTGTGTCCTTGAGTGTCCTAGAGATAGTGTTAAGTTGCTTTATAAATATTCCTTGCGTATACTGATGTAGTCATTCAATAACTTTACTGAGCACTTCCTACATGCCAGGCATTCGAGACACTGCAGTGAGGAGAGCATTCTTTGCCTTTTTGGAGTTTACATTATAATAGGGAAGTCAAGAAAAAAGTTAGTTAAATCATTATCAGGTATGGTAAGTGGAAAGAAAACAAGTAAAGTCATAGAAAGCAGTGGAAGGGAGGGACATTTTCAGTGAAGAAGTCAGTTAAGATATGTTCCTGAAAAGCAGCCATTAAGCTGAGCTGTTAAGATACAGGGCAAAATCAAGAGATACCCAAGGACACTAAGTTCTAAGGGTTTAGGCCCGCCTGTGCAAAATAATCAAATCCAAAGAATACTCATTGGTGAGAAGTTCAAAAGGGAATAGATAGAGGGAGAAGAGGTGTTAGGGAGAGAAAGATTTTCCACTCGAGCTCCCAGATCAACCATCCCCTTGTGGACCAAACAGACAGGTCTCAAAGCAGAGTGGCGAAGGCCCAAGAGTAGAGCCTTCAAGAGAACTAGTCCAAGGCAACTTCCCAGCAGGAAACACACAAAAAAGTGGTGTGCGAGAGCCCAAAGGCCTGGGGGAGGAGGAGAAGACCAGAGTTCAAAATGTACTGTCCAAGCTGCCATAGGGTCAAGATGACAACTACCACAGCTGCCTGCCAAAACCTTGAGCTGGAAAAGGAGTCACAAGTGGAAGTCAACTGAACTGGCTCAAGCTG